GAGAAAAAAAAATTGATTCAAAAACTGTTTTATGAAAACTTTTAAAAATGCAAAAAATTCCCTACCTTGGAAAAGAAAGACAATCTAGTCAAATGTTTCTTTGAAAATAGAAGGGTTCAAATGAGTGTAAGTGTTATTCTTTTAGCAATACATGTGACATGCAAGGGGATGACATGTGCCACACCCTTGTACCCTGTAATGAGTATACCTGAGTTGCAATGGAAGCACTTCAGTTGAAGTCCTGAGACTGACTCCTGACTCTAACTTTGTGGAGTTCAGAAGTGACAGCTCCAGGAATCAGGTTCCTGGTACCCGGATGGCAGACCTAGACCGAGTTCCCAGCTCCTGGTCTTGACCCAGGCCATTGCAGGCACTGGAGCATCGGTCAGCTGATGGGAATGTTCTCTAGCTGCCGTTTCACTCTATTTTTCTCTTTGATTCTCTGCCTCTCAAACAAGTAAACATTTTAAAAGCAAATTTAAGACCAAAGTGAGCATGTTTCATAAGCCGTATGAACTGAGGATTTTTGTATAGAGTAATATTCTCTTTGTGTAATAGTTACATCAATTATGAGAAATCACTGAAGAATTTACTATTTAATGTCTAAAGTCTGGCTCAATTTAGTATTAAAAATTTATCCCATAACTGTAATTAATCTAGATTCATTTTGCCAGTTAAAATGATAGAAGTTGGGCCCGGCGCAGTGGCGCAGTGGCGCAAGTGGTTAAGGTCCTCTCCTTGCATGCCCGGGATCACATATGGGCGCCGGTTCTATCCCAGCAGCCCCGCTTCCCTTCCAGCTCCCTGCCTGTGACCCGGGAAAGCAGTCGAGGATGGCCCAAAGCTTTGGGACCCTGCACCCACGTGGGAGACCTGGAAGAGGCTCCTGGCTTCGGACCGGCATAGCATCGGCCATTGCGCTCACTTGGGGAGTGAATCATCGGACGAAAGATCTTCCTCTCTGTCTCTCCTCTCTGTATATCCGCCTTTCCAATAAAAAAGTAATAAAAATAAGTCTTTAAAAAAATGATAGAAGTTTTCTTTTGCAATAGTTATTCATAATTGGAAAACCCTTTGATTAAGAGTTTACTTAAGTTATTTCAGAACTTGAGACTTTGACCTGGTACCATGAAAACGACATTGAGCATTTATTGTTATGAGTTGATGAATGAAGTAATAATATGGTAGAAGTTACTGCTTGCAGCCAGTCTAATGTGACTGAGACAAAGGAACTTTTTAGGGGAAAACTGGGACACCGAAGTCTCTGCTCCCCTTCTCCTCTGCACTACTAGGTCCTTAACCGGAAGACACTTCTCACTTTTTCTCTTCTCTACTTCAACTCTTCCTATTGGAAAATTTGGGAAGAGGATGTGTCAGGCAGGAAGAACTCCGCCAGGCTTCTGTGAATGGTAAATAATGTCAATCATCTTTATAAAGATAGTGATCTGTCTCCTGTAAAGTGTTTAACTTCAGTCATGGCTTCTCACTTACGGTAATGTATAGTGATGGAGTACTGGGGTCTATCATATTCAGACGTGGGGGTATAATGTGAACATGCATCCCTGCATCCAGACAAAAGATGGATTCCCAACGAAGCTGTTGGACATGTGTACACAATGGGATGCTGGGCTCTCTGACATTGTCTGTACCAACAATGTCGGGGTACACTTAAATAAGAGATTGATAGAATTATGATTCCTTATGAAGGACTACACTATTGTAACAAATTGGGAAAAAATCTGACTGGGGGTGGGAATGTGGGGGAGGAATCCCAGCCTACACAAATTGTACCACACAATTCAACATTCAAAAGAAAAATATATTAAAAAAAAAGTCAGTACTTTTTATGAAAGCATGTCTTACTGTGCAGGTGAATTTGAATTTACTACTGAGTAGGTGCAACTGATTCAGTGCTTTCAGCATGTTTATATGACTACACATGAAATGTTCTATTTTTTTAAAGGCTTATTTTTATTATTTTTTTATTGGAAAGGCAGATATACAGAGAGAAGAGACAGAGAGGAAGATCTTCTGTTCAATGATTCACTCCCCAAGTGAGCGCAATGGCCAATGCTATGCCCATCCGAAGCCAGGAGACTCTCCCGGGTCTCCCACGCGGGTGCAGGGTCCCAAAGCTTTGGGCCGTCCTCGACTACCTTCCCGGGCCACAGGCAGGGAGCTGGAAGGGAAGTGGGGCTGCTGGGATAGAACCGGTGCCCATATGGGATCCCGGGAGTGAAAGGCAAGGACCTTAACCACTTGCGCCACCGCGCCGGGCCCGAAATGCTTTATTTTTGAGCTACTTTTGATAGTCTTGATCAAAACAATGACAAATTTGAAAGAAGATCCAGCTGTGGATAAAGTTCACATGAGAACAGTACCAACAGTGTTCTTGGCTCTTTTTCTACAGATATAGCCTTGCAACAGACATAGCTTAAAGTAACGGCCCCTTCACCAAGCAAAACTTACAATATCTCCACACAACCTTACACTGTCAAAGAGGGGAGGGAGAGAAAAAAGTGGGTGTTACATTGCAAACAGCATACGTCAGAGATTCTATGGTTTTGAAACCCCACAGGACTCATAACGTTTGAACCTACTTAGAGATTATAGAAGCAGTGAACTGTGATTTAAAAAGGGAAATAGAAGTCTTTTTTTTCAGTTGGAATATTTTCCGAGATATTGCACAGAAAACAGTAACAGGTATGTCAGAGCTGAGTCTCTCTTTCTTTGCAGACGGGATCAGACTTGAGCAAACAGAATAACAGAGCATTTTACCAACACTATCAACCAGAAAACAAAGCACAGGGTTACACTAAGTATGAGACCAACACCCATTCCAAAGGAGCACCTTGAAAGGGCGCAAGTGCTTCCCCAAAGTCTGCTACACAGGGTACCCTCAGATTATAAGGAAGTCAGTTTAAATGGAGAAATAAGTAGTTGCAATACAAAGTTACTTTGATGAGCATAAATACCCAGATGAAACAAGGTGAGAAAGAAATTAAAAAGTGAAATAACCTGGCATGTGCTTCACCAGTGTCATTTCTAGGTGTATATAAAGGAAACAAAATCAACATATCAAAGAGAAAGCTTACTTTCATGTTTAATAATTAAATATTGAGTCAGCCACGGTGTCCATTCGCAAATGAAAAGAAAAATAAATGTGGCATATATACGATGGAAAATTATTCAACTACAAAAATAAAATAATCGTGTACTTTTATAGGAATATTGCAGGTGTGGAGGCAAGAGGACTCATTCAGTCCTGTATCTCATCCCTAGGCAATGTGGTATATGATTTTTTTTAGATTCTTTAGGAACAACAAGCTTCCACGAAGCAGCTCCTGTCTGTGCTGTAGCTCTGTGTGTTACAATTATGTGTGTGGCCGCTCCCTAGGTTACAACTGCTGCTTTTCCATGGAGTCGCACTTTTCTCTCTGACAAGAGTATTACAATTTTCTCTTACAGCTTCTCTTCTCTGACCATGAGGATGAGTCTCACAGATAGAGAAAGAGAAAACAGCTAATTAGAGTGCCTCTTTGGGTTATCAGCCAGGACTGCCTGGCTCAGGAATGCTATCTGCTTCTAAGGAGGAAGTTTGCCTGACTGAATATCCTAATGAGGTCCCTAAATGGACCAATCAGGACTTGGAAGAGTGTGCATTTGACTGGTTCAGCCAGGAGTCAACCAGTAGCAGTCTAATATGGAGTCATATCACACAGGAAAATGAAGGATGTACTCAAACAGGTTCATGTTGGGCTGACTCTGGTGAGAAGCAAAAACCAATCAGTAATAGCCAGGTGAAAAGCTTATGACGTTAAGAAGCTGCACAACAATCAACCTCCAAATGTTCTGGGACTTGATCTGGTGTCCAGGCTCTCTGGAAAGTGACCAGTGGCCTCTGTATCAGCAATGTGGATGGGGATGGAGGACAGGATGTTAAGTGTGAAGAGTCAGACTCAGACAAATCGTACATGGTCTTTCCTGGATTGAAAATTTAAAATACGAATCTCAGGAAGAGAGAGCAGGCTAGTGATTACTATAAGCTAAGAAGGGTAGGCAGAAAGGAAAATGGAGGTTGGATAATGTGTACCAAAATACAGTTAGGTAGGAATAATTCATATAGGGGCTGGTGAGGTGGCTCAACTGGCTAATTGTCCTCCTTCCAGCGCCTGCATACCACATAGACACCAGTTCATGTCCCAGGTACTCCACCTCTGATCCAGCTCTCTGCTTATGGCCTGGAAAAGCAGAGAGGGATGGGCCACGTTCTTGGGCCCCTGCACCCAGCGGAATCTCCTGGCCCCAGTTGTGGATCAGCTCAACTCTGGCCATTGTGGTCACTGTGGAGGGAAACAGTGGATGTAAGATCTCTTTCTCTGTCTCTTTTTCTCGCTGTAAATCTTCCTTTCCAATAAAAAAATAAGTAAATTTAAAAAAGAATAAATTTAAATTTTCTGTAGCACAGTAGACTAGTTTACTTCATATACATTTCTATGGATTTGAATATTGTTTTTAAATTTTTTTAATTTATTTGATGGTAATTACAGGGTTGACCAGGGTAGGAAGGATTGAGGATCAGGGGAAAGTGCATGAAATCATTGCATTGTAATTCTCCATTTCTTTTTGTCTTTGAGGGAAGGGGTGGAGGACAAAGGGGGAAGCCTCATCCCAGCACCCAGGGATGAGGAACCACCACCCAATATCAACCCAGGGTCCCACTATGGTGCATGTTTCAAGGTTTCTGATCAAGTGGCTTGGATAGATCTGCAATGCTGTCAGTTTCACTAATCCAAGGGTGATGCAGTCCTCCCAATGCCCATTGGCTGATATAGATGACCTCAAGTCTCCATTCATCCAGATTTGTACTGTCATCATCTGCAGAGTTAGTGGTCCAATTCTCTCTGTTCTCCTTCTTCTGTGATGGTACCAGATGGGCTGTCATATTCTCCATGTGCCTCAGGGCATGCATCCACAACTACATCTTTTTGTATTTGCAGGCAGTTCCAGGGCCAGGTGACATGAGCCCTGCAGGGTGCCCTATTCCTGGGGATCATAGACCTGGCACCCACCTCACAGGCAGACCCCAGGACCTGGGCCAGGTGACTTGAGCCCTGCTGGATCCAAGAATGAGGCAACCATATATGTAGGTGAGAAACGACTCCTGAGAGACTCTGAATGAAAGGGTCACAATGCTTACAGGTAAGTGAGGAGGTTGACACCCAGTGGTGTAGAGGAGAGAGACCAGATCTATAAGGGTCAGACAGAGGCACCCATCCACATGTGAGTCCTGAGTTGGGCTTGTTAATATGGAACATTGCTAATCACCACATGCCAGTCCACATGAAATGATGCTGGAGGTGTGTCTGGCAGTGATAGATTTCAGAACCCAACTGCATGTCACGACAGCAGATGGGTCACATTGGGCAGGGCCATGACTCTAGCTAGCATGCAAGAGAACCAGGTCCCAGGGTATATTCTATGGGGAATTTGTGGGTTCAAGCTTATGGAAGCATAAATTCCACCGTTTAGATTAAGAATGAGTGGGGTCTTGTGAAAGAGTACTTCTTGTTTATTTACTGAGCAGCATAGTAAGAGAAAAATAGATCCAGAGACAAAGGATTTGTATTCTGTGGCATTCACTCCCCAAATGACCACAATGGCTAGTTCTTTGCCAGGCCAAAGAAGAGATCATGAACTCCATCCTCATACCCCACAAGGGTGTCAAGGTGTCAATGTACTTGGGCCATCTTCATCTACCATTCCAGATACAACAGTAGGAAGCCTGATCAAAAGTGGAGCAGCCACAATCAGCTCTCCAATTAGGGATGCTGGTATTACTAGTGATGGTTTAGTCCCTGCATCACTGTATCAACCTTAATAGTGTATCTTTTAATGAAGAACTAGAAGAGAAAGGCTAGAAGACTCCCAAGAAAAATATAATAAATATTAAAGGATCTGAATGGTTGATTTCTCTTCTTTGTTCATTAAACCTGTATTTATTTAACTATCACACTATCCTGCATAAGTATCTATAATTATTACATGCCAGTTAAAATGATCAGTGAGAATTGACTGAAATATGCTGTACGCACATAAAATTTCAGCAGCCTAATTTCAAAGTGTCCAAAAATGACCCCCGCAAAACAGGTCTGTATCCTATTTCCTGTGGAATAAGAAGTGGTTGAATGCCTATAACCTATGAGGGTTGCTTTATGGAGCAAAGGTGTGATGTGGGGTCAAAGTTCTTGAGGGGAAGAGCACAACTTGGGTTTTCAGGTGTGTTCACAAAGCAATCACATGTATCCTTGTAGTAAATATCACAAGAGAAGGAGGGGGAAATGTAGCCTCACAGCAGCACTAGGAGCATAAACCAAGGATTGGGGAATGCTTCTGGAAGCTGGAAGAGACTAGGAAGGGATATCTGCATGCCACCCCATCCGCATCTTTGGAGAGAATATAGGTCTGCTGGCATCCTGATTTCTGACTCATGACTTTCAGAATAGCAAGGGATTAAATATCTGTTTCTTCAAACTAAACTAAAACCAAAACATGGTTTCTGGATGTTTTTGCTATGTCAGGGTCAAATAGCATTTTGAATATGATTTTGACCACAAATGGTCAGTTAGAAGCAGAAGGCATTTCAGACCTTCCCTCAGTCATAGAAGTACAAATCCATTGACCTGAATGAAAAGAGGTTGAGTGGAAACAGTGACATGATACCTAAAAGTGAATGTCAGAGCTGGATCCAGTACCTGTGTGATGAGGTGATCTGTAGACAAGCGAGAACAGTGAATGATGAAATGCACACATGTCATTTTTGACTTCAGTAACATGCATTTGCATCATGACATTCTGGAATTCGCTAATGAATTTTCTTGATATTGGACTAAGTTCATTATCAAGTGACAATTTTGAAAGCAATCCTGAAATTCTGCAGTTTGAGAAAAACTAATGTAGGAGAATTCAGTTTAATTTACATTCATCTGCACAAATTGCAAAAATTGTTTGAAATAAACAAATGTACCTTAGCAACGTATTCAGTGTTTTTCCTCCACTTATGTTCTCTCCCTTCTCCCTGTTCTCTTTTACAGTCTCTCCAAAAAGTTGAGAAAAGCCAGATAATACTCCGTTCTAGATCATCAATGTGTTATTTGGTACACCAAGAGAAATTCTCATATAAATATAAACTGCATTTCGGTTCTCATATGTTTTCATACAAAATATCAAGAATAGTTTGTGTTTTGGGACATTTGAGCCACTTCCCTTCAGTCTTCCTCCCACAACCTACTCAGTTCCTATTGATGTAAAATCTCAGTAAGCTGGTAAGCAATTAGAGTTCATTGCTCTTCAAAGTTCCAGGTATTCCTGGGAACAACTCCAACTGGAAAATCTCACTTTTTAAAGATAAAAAAATCCATGTCAAAAAAGTAATATTTGAGACTATAACAATTACAAGACATATACAATAATCATGTATATATGTATATGAATGTATACATAAATAAAATAACTAAATCGGATATAATTCAGCAACCTAGAAACCTAGAGTCTAATGAGGAACATTAATGCAGCGGAAGTGGGAGGTAAATATATTTTGATTTGAAGTTTTAAAGATGTATTTCTATGTTTTATGCTATACTATTAGTGTTTTATGTTATTCTTTTTAAGAAAAGCTTTCTGGAAATTTTTACCAGCATATTGAATTTATGAAAGCAATATTTTTACTTTACTAGTTCCTTTGTGAGAAGAAAGTTATCGTTACTACACAGGATACTTTTGCAAGATGAAAATATCCTCAGGCTAGAACAAATGAAAAATCATGGAAATAAAATAAGTAAAAAGTAAAAGTGTGATGAAAGAGGTCTGGATTTGACGTAGGCATCTTTGTTAGTGTTGAATAACAAATGATCACAGAGATTATGCTTTTCAGGATTGGTAGCAGGGTATAAGAATATGCAAATCTCTGTGAACATATTAAGCAAATAGGTATCTGTGCAGGTGGTAAGAGTCAGTAATGATATTTTCCTGAGACCTAGTTTATCTTTGCATTAAAAGTGAATTCATAAACTCAGAGCACAGATAATTTTTTAAAGTAAGGTGACCCTTACATGTATTGCTTACATAATAGCAGGATGACGCTCAATATCCCGAAAAAGACGTGCTTAATTCACAGGTGAGCTAATAAGGCAAATAATGTAGAAAAATAGCTATTTCAGAGGCAGAAAGCAAAAACAAGAGAAAAACTGCCTGCCCGATACTTTGCTTATTTACAAAAGAAGATATGAGTTAGGATGATCGTATCTGTGAGGTCAGTGGCAATTGGATAGCAATGGATCTGCCAGGTGTTTTTTAGAGTTAAATTTGTACAGGGTATCATGATGGATGCTCATGTCATGGGGAAAAGTCTAGGTTCAAGAAAGTTTGAAAATGTTTGGGTTCAGTAAATAGTTGTGGTCAATATACTGATATGAATGTAGTGTGACTCCCCAGAAGGGGGAGTGTAGTTCAGCAATCCCCCATTGCTTTTAACCACAGAACACTTTTTGGAAGAGTTAACGGGGGAAACAGCTTCTTGGGAAGTTTCAGAGTTTCTCTGAGTCTCTCTGGGTTGCAGGGTTACAAGAACTTGGGCCACCCTTTGCTATGTTCCCAGGCACATTATCTGGCAGCTGAATCATAAATGGAGCAGAATGGTCTTACACCAGTGCCCATACGGGACACTGGTATCAAGGGGGCAGTTCCATCTGCCACGTGGCAGTGCTAGCCACTCTTCCCACATTTTTACATATAGAAGCTTCAGGATTCAATCATGTAAACATTCTTTTGGCATCCGGGCCTCTTCCTTATTTGGAATGAATCACTGTCTACACAGAAATTCCATAGCACCTTGCTTTCCTCCTGACATCCGTGGACCTGATCCAGTTCTTGACCTTGGGTTTAGGAGGGGAAGTTTCTCTGGCTGAAGCAGTTCAACTCGTATGTTTTGAAAGGAGATAACTTTAAAAAGAGACCCTGGTGTGTTATACATGCTAAATAAGTGTTTTTTATCTAGAGGGAAAATCCCGCTAGTATCAGATCCTGACTAGCATGATTATGGTCTGCTTTTCTTCCCTACAACTGGGATTTTCTTGCAGGACTCCATTGTTTTAGACATCTTTTTAGTTGCACTTGGCTTTGCTGGAATTCAGCAGATGCTTTGTGGAAAATAGCAGCCCTTTGATTTATGATACTTTCTGCTTGCTTGTTTGGTTGCTTTTGAAATAAGACAAAATTTTAAAAAATTACTACTGGTTTGGAATCATTAATAACCTGAACTGTAACATCAGGAACATGCTTAAAGGCAAAAAAGTTAGATATATTTCCAAAACTCTTATTTATTTTTTTAACCTCTCCTTGCTTTATCATTAAGTTATGGGATATTAAGAATAAATCAGAGAAACAGAGCATGTACTCCCTAGATGATTAGAAAACCCACAAAAAAATAAGAAAACCCACAAAACCTTCTCTACAAACTAACAGTCCAGCTAGTTTACAAAGCAATTTCTGTAATTACAGAGAACATGGAGCATGAGAAGAAAAAAAAAAGTTATTTTAAGATTTATTTAGTTTCTTTGGAAAGGCAGGTTTACAGAGAGGAGAGACAGAAAGTTCTTTCCTTTTCTGGCTCACTCCCCAAATGGCTGTGACAGCTGGAGCTGGCCCAATTTGCAGCCAGGAGCCAGGAGTATCTTCACTGTACCTTCACAGAATGGACTTAACGGTCAGAGCTATGCCAATGTGAAGTCAGGATCTTCTTATGAATCTCCCACATGGACACAGGGGCCCATGGATTGGGACCATTCTCTGCTGCATTCCCAGACACGTTGATACGGAAATTGGATTGTAAGTGCGACTCATATAGGTTATCAGTGCTTCAGGTGGAAGTTTAGCCTACTATGTCACAGCACTGGCCTCTACAGGCTTTTTTGCTATAAAGGAACAAATGATAGATATAACATGCTATAGTTCATACAATCTCTAAAGCCTCTACTTAGCTTCACCATTGCACACACAAGAAGCCGTGGATTCTATGCAAATGAATGGCTATATACAGTAAAACTTTATGTACAAAAACAGGCCTGATTTAAAGCAGCGATACTGCAAAACATCAACATTATCTGTGACAGTGATGGAAAGGAAGAGTGGGCCTTTTAGATGCCAAAAAGAGCAATCTCTGTGTGAAAAGTACTTGCTTCATATTCTCACTATGGTATTGGAGTTTGAAGTTCTTCTCTATTTGAATGGAAGCGTTCTACTCTTCTTTTCATTAGGTGAATCATGTGGCTTTATCCGAAGCCAGAGTGAGTTGTCTTTCTGCTTCTTGTTTCCAGGAAGGAATACAAAGAATAGGTACAACTGAGCT